GGTGAATTAGTTGGCCAAATAATGTTCTATTGAATGATTTGCTTAATCAAGAACCAATAACCTTTAGTTAAATGATTCTTTACCCTCTTTGAAATAGCTAGCAGCGGATAGACATCAGGATTCCACTAAATGACTCTTGGTCATACTTGGTAATGGAAATGTAATGAGCATTTGAGGAACACATGAACACTAATGTTATATCAGTGTTTAAATCCTTAGTGAATAAAGCTTGTCTAAGCTTTAGCAACAGCTCAACACATGTTTCTGTAGCATAGCGTAGCATGCAGTCCATCCTGTTAGCTTTGTCTTTACTCAGCAGATATGATTAACATCATCAAAAAACATATTATTTGTTCTGTCCCTAATTGTGCCAGACCTGCAAACCTGTTTCCATGTCCATTTGGAAAGCTTGAGTTTCATTCAGCTGCAGCTCAGCAGGCAGGTTAACAGCAGAACGGGGGGTGGCAAGTCACTCCTTTGTAGGAGTTCCTGTGGAGGCACTTGGCTGAGAAGGGGGGTAGCAGAGGTCTTACAGCTTTTTATGAGCCAAAACTGCATCTTCTTCTCCGGTAATCATGTCAAGATGAAACATGGACACTGGCTCCTTCGTCAGTTTCACACGGTTTTATTTCTGATAGCAAGGAGTAGCTAGCCTAGGCTAGCGCTAGCTTAGCATTGCTATGGCTTCTCTCTCTCCCTCCCTTGACTCTTTTCCAACTCTTCCTTCTTCCTCTCCTCTCTCCTGCTCTCTGTGTCAGATGTTCAGTTATTCCTCTGCCTCCTTTAGTGATAATGGGATGTTTAATAAGTGTAGTATTTTAGTAGCTTTGGAGGCGAGGGTGTCAGAGTTAGAATCCAGGCTTCAGGCTGTTGAACATCCAGGAGTTAAAGTAGGCCCCCCACGTAGCTGTCCTCCAAAAGTGCCTGAGCAGCCAGGCGATTGGGTAACTGTACGCAGAAAGCGTAGTCGTGGATCTCTGCCCACTGGTCACCACCAACCCGTTCACGTTTCTAACCGGTTTTCCCCACTCAGTGACACACCCACTGAGAAGCCCACTCTGGTGATTGGCAGCTCCATAGTCAGAAACGTGGCATTAGAGACACCAGGGACCATAGTCAAATGTTTGCCGGGGGCCAGAACGGGCGACATCAAATCCTACCTGAAACTACTGGCTAAGGATAAGGTTAAATACAGTAAGATTGTTATTCACGCTGGTGGTAATGACACCCGGTTACGCCGATCGGAGGTCACTAAAATTAGTGTTGCTTCGGTGTGTAAGTTTGCCAAAAAAATGTCGGACTCCGTAATTTTGTCTGGTCCCCTCCCTGATCTGACCAGTGATGACATGTTTAGCCGCATGTCGTCATTCAACCGCTGGTTGTCTAGGTGGTGTCCTGAAAACAACGTGGGCTACATTAATAATTGGCAATCCTTTTGGGGAAAGCCTGGTCTGATTCGGAGAGACGGCATCCATCCCACTTTGGATGGTGCAGCTCTTCTTTCTAGGAATCTGGCCTCCTTTATTAGTCCTCCAAAACCCTGACCACCCAGGGTGCAGACCAGGAAGCAGAGTTGTAGTTTAACACACATCTCTGCAGCTTCTCTACTGTTACCCACTCTTTACTCCATCCAGACAGTGTCTTGCCCACGACCAAAATCTAATAAATTAGCAAAGATTCCCAAAGGAGTAAATCATGATAATCTAATTAAACTTAAAATAACTCCAATTGGGGAAAAGTTAAAACAATTAAATGCGGTCTGTTTAACATAAGATCTCTTTCCTCTAAAAGTCTGCTAGTTAATGACTTGATTTGTGATAATCACATTGACTTGTGTTGCCTTACAGAAACCTGGCTGCAGCAAGAGGATTATGTGAGCATAAATGAGGCAACTCCTTCAAGCTATTTAAATTTTCACATCCCCAGAAGTTCTGGGCGAGGAGGAGGAGTAGCAACAATCTTCCAGTCTGACTTACTAATTACTCCCAAAACAGTTAATACCTACAACTCTTTTGAACATTTAACCCTTAATTTCCCTGATCCACATTTCAAAGCAAGAAAACCTCTTCTTTTTGTAACTTTGTATCGTCCACCAGGTCCTTACTCTGAATGTTTAGATGAGTTTTCAGAGTTCCTTTCTGATTTGGTATTAAATACTGACAGGGTCATCATAGTGGGAGATTTTAACATCCATGCTGACATTGAAGGCGATAGCTTAAGAGCAGCCTTTAATGCTATCTTAGACACTATTGGCTTTGTTCAAAATGACTACTTCAGCTGCATCTGAGGTAGTCATGGAATCTGAACCGGGTTTAGACTGCTTTGATCCAGTTGAACTTTCAGAGTTAGCAAAATTATTGTCTTCATCTAAGCCTTCAACTTGTATGTTAGATCCAGTTCCAACCAGGTTATTTAAGGAGGTATTCCCTTTGATCTCCTCCTCCATTTTAGATGTGATTAATCTATCTCTGTTACAGGGATATGTACCTAAAGCTTTTAAGGTTGCTGTAATTAAACCTCTGCTTAAGAAACCGTAGACCTATATCCAATCTTACTTTTCTATCTAAAACTAGTCCATGCATTTGTTACTTCAAGGCTGGACTATTGTAATTCTTTACTATCAGGAAGTCCACAAACTGTAGTTAAAAGCCTTCAGCTGATCCAAAATGCTGCAGCCAGAGTTCTGATGAAAATTAAAAAGAGAGATCATATCTCTCCTATCCTGGCTTCTCTTCATTGGCTTCCTGTTAAATCCAGAATAGAATTTAAAATCCTCCTTCTCACATATAAAGCCTTAAATGGCCAAGCTCCATCTGATATCAGAGATCTGATTGTTCCTTATGTTCCTAACAGAGCACTTCGCTCTCAATCTGCAGGTTTACTAGTGGTTCCTAGAATTTCTAAAAGTAGAGTGGGAGGCAGATCTTTTAGTTCTCAGGCTCCTCTCCTGTGGAACCAACTACCAGTTTTAGTCCGTGAGGCAGACACCCTGTCTACTTTTAAGGCTAGCCTTAAAACTTTCCTTTTTGATAAAGCTTATAGTTACCCCGAAATCCCACATACTCCGTCTGCGCTCCAGACCGCCTGCACAAAGCAAAGCCTACAGCCGCCGCTGTGGCTCCCGTCTGAGTTCCTTGGAGATCGTACAGAGCATGCGCGAGATGAACCAGGGTTTCCGCGGATCATTAAAAATAATTACAATTCATAATTCTTTTTTTAAATCAAGGCCTTAATTGGCACTAAAATTAATTAAATATGTTTATCATTGCATTTATGATTCTTTAATAAAAAATGCTTATAAAAACAATTTTGTCAGATATATTATATCGCTCCAGGCGGAGAAAAAGCTAGAGGATATATATATACGTATATATATGTGTGTGTGTGTGTGTGTGTTTACATACATACAGGAGTCATGGAACTGTGCTTACAGCTCCTTCATATTTCATGTACACTAATAACTTGTGTACATGGTTCTTGTTGATGTCATTAAAATCATTTCTAATAGCATTAAAATAGCATTAAATTAGAGTCACTCATTCCTGTATGAACCCTGTGAGCGCTTAATTTAATATGACATATTAAAAAAAAATTTTGTAACGGGGATAAGGATAATCCAAAACTGCTTTTTTTTAATGAACTTGTTCTCTACTCCCAAACTCAGCATCTCTTTTCATTCCTGTTATAAGAAGTTTCTTTTGAATGGATTTGATTAAAGTTTAAGTCCCTCGGTATAAAATAAATATTTTGATGGAGATGAGAAATCTGCTTCCTCGTTGGTGAATAACCAATAGTTTGGATCCAATCATTTAAATAAACGGTGTTAGTTTTTTTTTTAATATATAAGAATTGTGCTATAATTTCTAGTCACCGATCTGTTGCTGCTATATTTTAATTTGACGAACCAGAATTTGTCAATGTTCTTTTTCCTGTTTGGTGCGATTGCAATTGCGGATCTTGACCTGGCCGGACCGGAGCGGAGGAAAAAAATAGCTCGGCTCCGTAATTTGTCGGTGACGGACGGAGAAGACGTACGTGGACGGAGACGTGCGGAGGAGTAGCGGTGGATGTGGAACAGCTCTCATTGATTTACATGAAAGACAAGCGCTCCGCACGACGTACGTCAGCAGAGCGGAGCGCTGACGGAGTATGTGGGATTTCGGGGTTAGAGTGGCTCAGGTTATCCTGAGCTATCTCTATAGTTCTGCTGCTATAGGCTTAGACTGCTGGAGGACATAGGGACCCCTTTTTCATCATTCTGCTTCATTCTATCTCTATTCTCCTATTCTGCAGAATCTGTTAGTTCAATCTCTAACGTTCTGCTCTCTCTGCTTTTTCTCATAGTAGCTTCATCTGGTCTGTTCCTGTTTGGCTGTGACTCCATCCTGGAGAGAAATATCAGCTGTGCTGCTGCCATTTCTAGATGTTGGAGCTTGGCCTGTTTTCCAGTGTAGTCCTGTTTCTCTGACTGTGACTAACTGGATGTGCTCTCTTCATCCTCTGACATGGGAGCTGGCTCGGAGCTCGTCTGCCTGGCTGTGTGTTTCCTGGACGGGGCCGCCTGTGGAGCTGGTTGACAGTTGCCTTTTGTATCTATGCTTCTTTTTGTATGTCTGCTTCTGTCTCCTTGAACCCCAGTGGGCCTCAGCAGATGGCCGCTCACACTGAGCCTGGTTCTGCTGGAGGTTTCTTCCTGTTTAAAGGGAGTTTTTCCTCTCCACTGTCGCTACAAGCATGCTTAGTGTGAGGGATTGCTGAAGAGTCAATGAGTCGATGCAATCAGCTGGTTTTCCTTAGATAGAAAACTTTGAATCAATCTGACTGGATGATCTGGTGAACTGGAAAGTACCTTGAGATGAAGTGTGCTGTGAATTGGCGCTATAGAAATAAACTGAATTGAATTGGATTAATTAGAGCACCCTCCTTCTATAGAGCACCCTCCTTTTATAGAGAACCCTCCTTCTGTGGAGCACCCTCCGTCTATAGAGAACCCTCCATCTATGGAGCACCCTCCTCCTATAGAGAACCCTCCATCTATGGAGCACCCTCCTCCTATAGAGCACCCTCCTCCTATAGAGCACCCTCCTTCTGTGGAGCACCCTCCTCCTATAGAGCACCCTCCTCCTATAGAGCACCCTCCTTCTGTGGAGCACCCTCCTCCTATAGAGCACCCTCCTTCTGTGGAGCACCCTCCTCCTATAGAGCACCCTCCTCCTATAGAGCACCCTCCTCCTATAGAGCACCCTCTTCCTATAGAGCACCCTCCTTCTGTGGAGCACCCTCCATCTATCGAGCACCCTCCTCCTATAGAGCACCCTCCTCCTATAGAGCACCCTCCTCCTATAGAGCACCCTCCTTCTGTGGAGCACCCTCCGTCTATAGAGAACCCTCCATCTATGGAGCACCCTCCTCCTATAATGCACCCTCCTCCTATAGAGCACCCTCCTTCTGTGGAGCACCCTCCGTCTATAGAGAACCCTCCATCTATGGAGCACCCTCCTCCTATAGAGCACCCTCCTCCTATAGAGCACCCTCCTTCTGTGGAGCACCCTCCGTCTATAGAGAACCCTCCATCTATGGAGCACCCTCCTCCTATAGAGCACCCTCCTCCTATAGAGCACCCTCCTCCTATAGAGCACCCTCCTTCTGTGGAGCACCCTCCGTCTATAGAGAACCCTCCATCTATGGAGCACCCTCCTCCTATAGAGCACCCTCCTCCTATAGAGCACCCTCCTCCTATAGAGCACCCTCCTTCTGTGGAGCACCCTCCGTCTATAGAGAACCCTCCATCTATGGAGCACCCTCCTCCTATAGAGCACCCTCCTCCTATAGAGCACCCTCCTCCTATAGAGCACCCTCCTCCTATAGAGCACCCTCCTTCTGTGGAGCACCCTCCGTCTATAGAGAACCCTCCATCTATGGAGCACCCTCCTCCTATAGAGCACCCTCCTTCTGTGGAGCACCCTCCGTCTATAGAGAACCCTCCATCTATGGAGCACCCTCCTCCTATAGAGCACCCTCCTTCTGTGGAGCACCCTCCGTCTATAGAGAACCCTCCATCTATGGAGCATCCTCCTTCTATAGAGCACCCTCCTGAGTCTTTATTGTGACTTTGGTGTCTTTCCTCAGATATTGACCTTCTGCTGGAGATAGTGTTTTAGTTCCTTTTGTTTGAGATGTTTAACCTTTGTTTATGTGGTAGAAGCAGACACAGGGTTCCCTGCTGTCTTCACCCTGCCTGTGCTTGTTGTTCTTCTAGCTTTGAACTGTTTACAGCTGAAACACGCTGTGATGGTAACATTCCTGTGATCGAAACTCCAGATTGTCATGCTCCAACAAGACAGACTCCCACCTCCACTAAGCGCATACCAGCACTTTCAGCAGCTATTGTGTAAGTTCCTGGACATGCTCAGGCAGCACGCAGCCACCTCACAGGCCACCACAAACTCTCTGTTAGGACACATTTCAGACGGGATTATCACACATTATAAACCCAGGAGGAATCTAACCTTTGCTTTGGTTCTTCAAGGAGCACAAATACTCAAAACTCTTCTGGAAACTCATGAAGTTTTTTAGGAAGTGAATATTAAAGTTTGAAGTACTGACATGACTTACATTTAAATGATGGAAAAATATAAGCACTTCAAACTTAAATATTCAAACTTCCTCAAAAACCCTAACCCTAGCATTCTGAACTTATTCTAGTGGTGGTGGTGGTGGTGGTGTTGGTGGGGTGGGTTCAGGCTGGATTAGGCTAATTCAGAGCGAGTCAGAAAGAGACTAAACAAACTGGTGAGAAAGGCCGTTTCTGTCCAAGGCTGCAGAGGCTGAGGAGGCTGCTGTCCAAGCTTCCATCCATCATGGACGCCACCTTCCACCCTCTGCAGCAGACTGGAGAGGAGCTGAGCAGCTCCTTTAGTCAAAGACTTTTACAGCCTGGTTGGAAAAAGGAGCGCTACTGCAGGTCATTCATCCTGCTGCACCCAGACTCTACAATGAGACACTACAACCACAATAACTGCTGCAATGGAGAATAATTACTATTTAATACTCTGCGAAATAACTGTTTCTCTATATCTGACACCCACTGCAATAACTATAAATATTAATACCGAGCTATATATCACCTTGACTATATATAGATGGGTATTATACTGATGGGTGGTCCAAAGACCACCTGGACCCTCGGACCACCTGGATCCATGGACCACCTGGATCCTTGTTGGATCGCCTGGATCCATGGACCACCTGGATCCTTGTTGGATCGCCTGGATCCATGGACCACCTGGATCCTTAGACCATCTGGATCCTTGGGCCACCTGGATCCTTAGACCACCTGGACCCTCGGACCACCTGGATCCTTAGACCATCTGGATCCTTGGGCCACCTGGATCCTTAGACCATCTGGATCCTTGGGCCACCTGGATCCTTAGACCATCTGGATCCTTGGGCCACCTGGATCCTTAGACCACCTGGACCCTCGGACCACCTGGATCCTTAGACCATCTGGATCCTTGGGCCACCTGGATCCTTAGACCATCTGGATCCTTGGGCCACCTGGATCCTTAGACCATCTGGATCCTTGGGCCACCTGGATCCTTAGACCACCTGGACCCTCGGACCACCTGGATCCTTAGACCATCTGGATCCTTGGGCCACCTGGATCCTTAGACCATCTGGATCCTTGGGCCACCTGGATCCTTAGACCATCTGGATCCTTGGGCCACCTGGATCCTTAGACCATCTGGATCCTTGGACCACCTGGATCCTTGGACCACCTGGATCCTTGGACCACCTGGATCCTTGGACCACCTGGATCCTTGGACCACCTGGATCCTTGGACCACCTGGATCCTTGGGCCACCTATAGGCAGGATCTTCTGTTCCCCTTTAAAGGGGTTGGGGTAGCGATGATAGTGGGAGGGAATCAACTCAACCTCGCCAGTTCATCCAGACCAACAATTCCCTCTAATGACCCCCCATTCAGAGACATAGGCAGGTATGGGGCATTTCCTAAACTAAAACCAGGCTTTGTTGGGCTGCTGGATAAAACCTGGAACTAAACGCTATTTCTGACATTTTGGATTGAAAAATCTTCCTGGATGGAAGAGAAACGTCTTCAAACTAGGAAACAAAGTCCAGTGTTTTTTTTTTTTACTTTTTTGCAGCTTCTCTTTAAGGTTTGTTTGGAGCTGATAGAACTAAACTGAGAGTGATGCAATCTTTGGAAGCTCCTCTGTTTGAAGCTCTCAGGGCAGCATGACCATGGGGGAGCTGGACCTTACTGCAGTGAGAGACGTTTGCAGTTTACTCTCACTACTCATGAGCCAGGAGGAACACATTCATCATCTTCCATCCTTTGTAAAAATGGCCATCAGATGTTATTCTACCTGAAATATTCTCAGCTAGATCCTTTATTGTTCCTCAGTGAGGAAATTCATGTTTGACAGCGAAAAGGATCAGAAAACCAGAGAAATAATACAGGACTGGAGTTCAATCAGCACCTAGGATGCCAGAGCGACGTCCTGCAGACAGCTGGAGATCAGTCCAATCAGCTGCAGACTGTCTCCCAGAAAACTCCAACTGTTTGGAGCAGCTGGTTCTGAAGTCTAGGAGGAAGGATCTGCGATAGCGCTGCTTTGTGTGTCTAGGATGCAGCAGCAGAGCTGATCTCAGGAGGAGATGGACCTGGGTCGTCTCTGAACCAATAAATCAGACGTAGGAAAAGAAAGAAAACCAGAAGAAAAGAGATGAAATAAAGACCTGATCAGTCTGACGTTAGTCTGTCGAGGATCTGTGTCCAGACAGAGGAGTGCTCTGGTTCTGTCTGCTGAGGCTGGGCCCAAATGGATCAGTCACAGCTGGGACCACAACTTCTCATTAATCATGATAATTTTTCCATTTCCACTGGATTCTTTTCTTGTGTAGCTTCTAGTAACAGTAGAGCTTTCATTCTCAGAGTTTATCCGTTCATCTAACAGGAAGACCTGCTGCAGGACCCGCCGTTCCACATGTTGACCTGAAGCTGTGCTTGGCTCCTGAGAACTTCTGAGCTTTTCTCCTTATCAGCTGCTGCAGCGTGTTCTGATTAGCCTCCTGCATTTCCTTCTCTGCAGCTCTGCTGAAAAGGTTCTGGGAGTCCTGGGAGCAGGTCTGCATGGTCCGTCCGGATGGGATTCTATTCCTGCTTTATCTAGAACCTGGCTTCCTGGCTTCTGCTGAATGTGTTTCCGTCATTGTGAGGTCCGGGACGTTCTTCCTCTGTTTACATTCCAGAGGCTCCGTCCAGTGCAGCTCATATCTGTGTCCCTGCAAACCAGCGTTACTCCATGGAGCGCTGAACAGGAGCTGCTGAACCGTTTGGTTCTGTCCTCCTGCCCACAGATATCTGTGACTAATGGGAGATGACTGAACTGTTGCCATGACGCTCAAACCGCTAAAATCTGCTGCTGGCGAGTTTCTGGGAGTCTAAACGTTCAGTTCATGAAGGAGCTCCACGCTGGGAACAAAAGACTCTCAGCCTTCCATGGATGCATTCTAGAGTCAATTTCTATGCTGCTTATAGCTGGCAGGCTGAGTGGAAATGGAGGAAAATGATGCTGGTTACTGGAAACGGCCCATCAAGTAGAAAAGCTCCTCTAAAGATCAACTGGCAGGAATGTGGTTTTTACTCAGTGGGAGCTAAAAATAGGCATATCTGACCTCCATTAGGAGCTAAGGAGGGACAGCGCTGGGGGGGACGGGGGGGGTTCAGTGGAGAACTGGAAAATCTGAAAAAAGACTTTAAAGACTTTAAAGTTTGCAGAATGGTGTTTGTTGTCTTTGTCTCAGCATGGAGCCCCAGAGAGATCAGCGCAGCGATGAAGGTCACAGATTGACTGCCTCAGATTGAAAGTCCTTTTAAAGCTACAGTCTCCACTCTAATTATAGAGCAAACAGATATTTGGCTCTTTAGAAACAAAACATGCTCCATATAGAGTGCAGCTGAACACACGCTGCCTGAAGGAGGATATCAGAGAAAAGTTTATTCAGTCTGAACCAAATCTGAGTCATTATGCAAATAGGATCGTATCTATTGATCAGCTCTAGTTTATTGTTTTCTATCTCAAGAAGTAGCAGGAGATTCTATCAAATCATTAACTTTTAGCAGATGGATGGATGTCTAATCAGTCAAGGCATTGACTTTACAGGATGAGCAGTTAGAGACAGGAGATACTGACTCTTCAGCAATCCCTCACACTAAGCATGCTTGTAGCGACAGTGGAGAGGAAAAACTCCCTTTGAACAGGAAGAAACCTCCAGCAGAACCAGGCTCAGTGTGAGCGGCCATCTGCTGAGGCCCACTGGGGTTCAAGGAGACAGAAGCAGACATAGAAAAAGAAGCATAGATACAAAAGGCAACTGTCAACCAGCTCCACAGGCGGCCCCGTCCAGGAAACACACAGCCAGGCAGACGAGCTCCGAGCCAGCTCCCATGTCAGAGGATGAAGAGAGCACATCCAGTTAGTCACAGTCAGAGAAACAGGACTACACTGGAAAACAGGCCAAGCTCCAACATCTAGAAACAAAGGTGTTGATGGCAGCAGCACAGCTGATATTTCTCTCCAGGATGGAGTCACAGCCAAACAGGAACAGACCAGATGAAGCTACTATGAGAAAAAGCAGAGAGACCATCAGTTCTCAGGTGAATATATGCCCTGATAATTAAACTTCATAATAAAACTATAACAGCGTAAATCTGGTCAGCTGGGAATATTCCTCAGATGAAAGAAGGAAATTCTAGAAACCTCTTTGATCTGGGATTTAAATGACAGGTCCTGATCAAAAACAACACCAAGATGTTTTACTTTATTATCTGAAATCAGTTTAATCCCATCCAAATGAAGTGACTGACTAATCAGCTTCTTTTTCAGAGACTCTGGTCCAAAGACTATAACTTCTGTTTTGTCTGCATTCAGAAGCAGAAAGTTAAGAGTCATCCAGGTTTTTATGTCTTCAGACATGCCTGTAATCTATGTAATGGGTTAGCTTCATCTGGATTATAGACAGATATAGCTGGGTATCATCAGCATAACAGTGGAAATTAATCCCATGCTGTCTAATAATTCTAC